AAGGGGCAGCAATCTCTTCCCTCACTTCCTGTAGAAACCTTGGGTATATCCTGTCTGGCCCAGAGGACTTATCGATCCTCATGTTTTTAACAATTTCTAGCACGTCCTCCTTCCTAACATCAACCTGTTCGAGCATATCAGCCTGTTTCACACTGTCCTCACAAACGTCAAGGTCCCTCTCACTGGTGAATACTGAAGTAAAGTATTTATTAAGGACCTCCCCTACCTCCTCCAATTCCACACACAAGTTCCCTCCACTATCCCTGATCGGCCCTAGCCTCACTCTGGCCATCCTCCTGTTCCTCACATAAGCATAGAACGTCTTGGGGATTTCCTTGATCGTACCAGCCAAGGTTTTACCTTACCCTCTTCTAGCTCTCCTAAGTCCATTCTTCAGTTCCTTCCTGGCTACCTTGTATGCCTCTAGAGCCCTGTCTGATCCTTACTTCCTCAACCTTAAGTAAGCTTCCTTCTTCCTCTTGACTAGATGTTCCACATGTCTTGTCATCCAAGGTTCCTTCACCTTACCATCCCTTCCTTGCCTCAGTGGGACAAACATGTGAGCCCTGTCTCTAAATAGGCCAACTGGAAATACCTTACCTGGATCTGCCCTATCTATCCCGTTATATATTTTGTACGTTTCAATGTTATCATCTCTCATTCTTTGAAATTCTGGAGGATACCAGACCCGTTTGCTCAATCTCTCATTCTCGGATAGTCCCACTGTCCCAGGAACAAGTCTGGTGAGCCTTTGTTATGCTCCCTCTACGGCAATAATGTCTCTCCTCAGATAAGGAGATCAAAGCTACACACTGTGCTCCAGGTGCACTCTAACCAAGCTCCTACACAACTGAAGCAAGACTTTACTATTCCTGTACACAAATCCTCTTCCAATAAAGGCTAACGTTCCATTAATCTTCCTAATAGCTGGCTGCACCTACATGTTGGTCTTCAGTGTCTTATCACAAGGATAAGGACACCAGGTCCCTTTGTAAATCTCTTACCATTGAAGACATACACTGCACAACTTCTCCAAGCAAAATGCATAACTTCACATTTTTCCACATTATATTTCACCCGCCATGTTCTCGCTCATTCACTAACACTGTCTAAAATCTCCCGAAGCCACTTTAAATCTTCCACACAGCATATGTTCCAACTTGTATCGTCAAAAAATTTGGAAATATTACATTTGGACCCCTGATCCAGTACTGTCTTTCTGATAGATGAGTTCTTCAACAGTACTGAATGACACAACAGTGCAGCACTGTGTTAGTACTGAACCTCCAACAGTTCGACGCTGTGTTAGTACTGAACCTCCAACAGTGCCGCACTGTGTTAGTAC